TTTCCTTCTTTCTTCTTCTTCCTGTTCCTCTTCTTTCTGGTAGTACATGTCGTTCATCAGTTCCCGGACCTGTTCCTTGAGGGCGTCGCACGTCTCGAAGACGTAGGCCATGCGTTCCTTGGCCTCGTTCCTTTCTCTTTCGTTCTGTTCCGTCATTTCCTGGACCTGAAACTTGACGTCCTGTACCTGTCCAGTGAGTGACTTCACACAACCAGCCACGTGTTCTTGGGATCGCTGAAGCTTTTCCTGCTGCTCTGTGTTCTTCCTGATCGACTCCGCGATCACGTTCCTTTCTGCGCTGGCTTTCCTGAGTTCCGTGGCGGCTTCCTTTAGCGCTTCCAGTTCCTTGAGAACGTCGCTCTTGGTCTTTGCCGAACTTGCGCTGGCTTCCATGGCTGAGGTTCCTTGACCTTCTGCTACTGGTCGCACTATTCCTTGTATTCCTGAGCGTTCCGCGAGGTTTTCGCAGAGTTCCTTGAGCTGTGAAAGCATCTCGCAACATGACGTTTCATGCGCTGCTGTTCCTGCACGTGTTCCTAGCTCACATGCACTCATGTCACTGCACATGCCGTCCTGCTCACATGCACTTGCACAACAGAAAACTTGTTCCTGAAAACCTGCCTGAAACTCTTCCTGAAGAAAGCAACTCTCAAGACTCTGTTCCTTGAAACTCTGAATCTGAAGACTGTCTGAAATTCCTGAAATTCCTGCAAACAACAAAGCTGCAAAAGACAAAGTTCCTGGGCTCTTAATCATCCTGAAAACTGCTTTGGCTTGTGTTTGGGCCTTGTGCTCCTTGAGCTCTTCTCTGCCTACTGGTTCGTTCTCGCCGGTTTGAAAACCGATCCAGTGCAACAACAATCTTATGCGCTTTGCTGAAAGGGGCTTAGTTCCTATATCGGCTGTGTTTTCCTTGGTTCCTACAGGGTGAACGCTGATTGTTCCTTACTTGTGGAGGTCTTGAAGAAAAAGGGTCCTGATTTGTAAATGCTTGACTCTTCCTACACCTTGCCTGGTAATGATACCTCTAGCTGCTGAAGAATCCATGTACAGATGTTCCTTGCATTGTTTCCTTGTCAAGAATTCAACTGCTTCCTTTAACAAGATACTGTCACTAGCTGCGCTAGCTCCTGCGTAGTACTCTGCCTCACCACTGCTCAAGCTGACTGACTTTTGGTTCCTAGAAAAGGAGTAGATACACTGACCGTCAAGACAAACAATTCCTGAAGACGTTGAGCGCCTAGTGTCCTTCTTTCCTGCCCAATCTGAATCACTGAAGACTTCCAAAAGATGGTGTTCCTTGGGCTGTGTTCCTGAAAAGTCGTAGTTACCACTCCTAATGGATTCATGGAGGTTGCTGAGTCCTCTTGGGGTTGTCCTGTACACTAGATGGTATCCTTCAGTCCTTGCCAGTTCAACTTTACCTAACCCAAGACACACTACGGGCTAAAAGCAAAGCTAAGCAGAGAGACCTTTTGACTTTGCAGGAAACGCGAGAAGTAAGTAAAGCAGCAAGCCTAAGCCAAGCAAAAGCGATTACGAAGCTTCGAGAGTTTAGACCTGTAAGTCGGGAAGCGACTGATGATGAGATCAGAGCTTTTGGCGTTACGAAAGGTGACAAGCAAGATCCTGAGGGATTCTACTTGGTGAAACGATTCCGGACTTCGCAGAACATTTCGATGTTGGTCAGAGGAGCCGATCAGCTTGGATTCAATCGCGAAGACTTCAATCCCAACACTTACTTCACGCATGAGGATAACGTCAACGCGATGCACTTTGGATGCCTGAGTATTTTGGCACAAGTCATTCCCAAGATCACCGGATACAGCCGATTTACCCTGCTCAGACCGCCTGCTACTGGAACCGTGCATCACCTTTGCATCGACCCTGTTGGTATTTGCTGACCATTAACATCAAGGAGTTGCCTGCAGAAGCAATTGCACTGGTCATGGATCACGGGATTCAAGTTCAAGCAAGGCTCGTTGACAGGATGAATCAAAGCAAGGCCAACAAAGAGAAGAATCCCAACACAGGGAAACACGTCTTGCACCACATTGCCACCAGTGACTACTTGCAACCTGGCCAGAGCTCCGTGATGGACACTGCAGCGTCATCTTATGGTGGTAATCCAAGATCTCGTGCTCCTAAACCTTCTTGTGCTCCAGCGCATGAACGTAGTCGTGATCATGACAATGATCAACGTGAACGTGACCGTGACTGGAATCGGCATGACTATGATCAACGTGAACATGACAGTGATTGGAATCGACATGATTGGGATCGCCAGGATTGGAATGACCCAAACTGGTGGAGACGGAACTCCAATACCTACCATGACGCCAAGTCCAAGGGCAAAGGCAAATGGAAGGGAAAAGGTAACTCCGATGAGCGACCTTGGGTTCCTGATGATCCGTCTGTCACAAGAAGATGGGAAAGGGAGAACCAATGAGCATCTTTCCGATGGTTGTGACACCACACAGCATGGCGAATCGTCATCGCCGTGCATGCTCTTCTTTGGTGACGCCTGATTCTGTATGTCATTTCAGGATATCGTTACCGACGTAGCTGAGTGTCACAACGTTTCTAATTGGAATGCAAGACTTCATTCTACATATACAAAGTTGCAGCGGACCAATCCAATAGCATTTTTCTGATCGCGCCATCTTCCGGTGAGTAGTGCTGGAGGCACAACTCATGGGGGGTGCGAACGGACCTCGATGCCTAGTCCAATTCTAAGGTGTCGCAATATGAGCTATGAACCATACTCTGTACAGTCAGGAGCAGGGTTACACTTCGTGTCCTCTGTCTCATGCTATATGTCCACTCTCGGCGGTATGCTGGTCATGCGCCTGAGGTGGAAGTTCGTGTAGCATATGTCCGCCAACACAACTTTGGCTCAAGAACATGACCGCAACACTGCAGTTTTCAAGCGGTTGCTCCTTGACAATGCGTTGTGTGCCAGGTTCAGGTCAAAAAAAAGCGCTCACGAGGCAAGTCTTCCAGAACTGGAAGTTCCCAGGCGCGCGGCATGTGTGTAAGCGCATGGTGCCATGGTACCGACAGTTCTGAAAGTATGGTTCCCTTGTAGGTCTGTATAGTTTGTTGTGCACTGCTGCTTCCCCAAAGTGGTTAGGTAGTAGAAGCATGTACGTAAGTGCACCCGAAGCAGCCTTTCCACACACTTTACGATGGTGTCAATTGTTGCAGTAAAGGTAGTGGTAGTACTAGTTGTAGTGGTTCATGTAAAAGTAATAGTAGCACCAGTAGCACTAGTAGTAATTTAGTAGCAGTAGTAGTAGCAGCAGAAGAAGTAGCAGTAGCAGTCGCAAGATATGTAATTCGGAAAATCCAGCAACCTCAGCGTCGTGCAACCAAGGCCAAAGCCTTACCTCCGCTCCCCTTGCGCCCAATATTTCCTCTTTAGTGCCCCGGTACACATCCTATACTGTCTATACTTTAAGCCAAGCCGTCGCGCCACTGCCGAGTTCAGTGAAGCCAAGCAGATGCGCCGACAGGAGTGCGTATAGATGCCACACCGCATGTGCGTACACACGCATAAGTTACAGTATCTGTACATATATTCTTGCATATACAGGTATGTATGTATATATGTTTATATGTGTTTATTATTCAACAGTTTGCACTGTTTACACCTTTTTGGATATAATTTTTCTGGACAAATAGCATGTCAATGTATTTTGCATGTCGCACTTGTTTACTTGACTGCACCGTGCTCCCCCCATATCTCGGTTTACGTATATACGTACTTAGCGTACATGTAGACGTTACAATGTAACATGTCAATGTCTATACATGGCTTTTGCGGCATGCCATGCGGGAATGTGTATAAGGTTGTGGTGTTCGCATGGGCTAGGGGTACGAACGCCTGACTTGGAAATTCTCGGCCACCGGGAGCTAGGAGCCCCCTTCTGCATCTGTAGCCGCCCCACTTGCACCCGTGTGTTGTTAAAGAAGTGTTGCATGAAGGTGAAGAATGCTCATGCCCATGCAGGCGCTTTCCAAGCGCACCGTCGATGTCTCCGACGTGGCGGAGGACAACAACACTCACAGCCCCGGTCGGTGTGTGTGTGTGTGTTTGTGTGTTTGTGTGTGTGTCTGTGCGTCAGTTACTTAGTCAGTTAGTTGGTGGGCTACGGTGGGTTTGTTGGTGACTTAGCTGCCGACTTAGTCAGTGAGTGAGTTCTTGAATTTCCTGGTCAGTCAATCAGTTTAGCAGTCAGTCAGTCAGTCAGTCAGTCAGTCATGCTTGTGGTATCTTGTGGTCACCAAATAGGGCTCTGCATGAAGCGAATCTCGCACCATCAGGACCAAGCCACTTTGCCGAAAGCAACTCTGCAGCAGGCTAGAATTCAGGACGGTGCGATGATAAACGCACGGTGAGTCAGGTGCCTGTGGGTTGCAGCCGGCGCAATGCAGCCTTCGCCCTTGTTCGTGGAGATGGAACAGTGGTGACTTGGGGAGATGCGCAGTCCGGTGGTGACAGCAGCTCTGTGTACCAGAGTTTGACGAAAGTGCAGACGATCAAGGCGACCTCGAGAGCTTTTGCAGCTTTGCGAAGGGATGGACAGGTCGTCACATGGGGTGATCCTCTTCGAGGAGGTCGAGGCGGACCCAGCTCACATCTGAAAGACGTCGTAAGCCTGCAAGCATCGCAGAGCGCATTTACAGCCTTACGCACTGATGGAAGGGTCGTCACATGGGGTGACACAGCAGCCGGAGCGGATAGCAACTCCGTGTCGCAAAGGTTGCTCGAGGTGAGCTCGATTTCAGCAACAGTTTTCGCTTTGGCAGCCATCTGCAAAGACGGACTTGTGGAGACCTGGGGTGACCGCCGCTATGGCGGTGATCGTAGGGCCGTGCAGACGGAGCTGCAGGGTGTCCGATCGATCGTCGGAAATGATTTTGCTTTCGTTGCCATCCGTGCCGACGGCAGTGTAGTTTGCTGGGGCAAGGACGATAGTGGGGGCAGCCCAGGTGAGATGCAAGCTCAGCTGGTTGATGTTGTTTCTATCGAAGCATCGAGCGCCGCCTTTGCTGCCATTCGCAGCGATGGGCGGGTGGTCGCATGGGGTGACAGACAATTTGGCGGCGACTGCTGCTCTGTGAGGGATCAGCTGATCCAAGTGCAGAGCATCACTGCATCTCGGGCTGCCTTTGCGGCGCTGAAGGCAGACAACACAGTGGTCGTCTGGGGCCACGAGTGACATGCCCGAATTATGTTGTCGAGGCACTATGGCGGTAAGATGTTTTAGGCAAGCAGTGTGTGGAGCTGGATCTCAGGCAGTATGGAGGCACGCTGAGCCTGCAGATCCGCCCACAGCTTAATCATGTCAACCTGATCACAGCCACGGAGTTCGCCTTTGCAGCTTTGAGAAAGGATGGCCAGGTGGTGGCGGCCTTGGGATGTGAAGACTGGTACCTCATGATCTTGGATGTTGGAAAGCGTGCGATGTTGTGATTATTTGAGGTGACTTGGGCAATCCGGTGGAGGGTGGCGATAGCCAATCAATCAAGGACAATCTTCATGCTATCGTTGTGGTCCGTTTGGTCCCACGCAGACCTCTCTACTTCAGGACAAGCTGCGAGGCGTGCAGCAGATTGAGGCTTCATCGGGTGCCTTCCTAGCCATCCGTTCAGACGGTAGTGTGGTTTGCTGGGGCAATTCCGACACTCAGTGGCAGAAATACAAGCTTGTGATCTGTTAAGCGCATGCACAAGCTCAGCAAGTAAAGCTAATAAAGTTAGTGCAGCTTGTAGCTAAGCAAGTGCGGAGCTTGGTTCCAATCTGGACAGCTATCCCGAAATCCCGAAGTAGGCACAAACTGAGAACCTAGTGGTAGAACTTTGCAAACGAGACCGTGGCCGCTGAGGACACGGGCGCCTACACCAAGCCAGTTGACAAGTACCTCAAAGATGTCCACAGCAGCGGGACACCACCGAAATGAAAGAGAGGCAATATGAACTGCCACGAGAGGCAATATGAACTGCCACGAGGATGTTTCTGTGTCAAAGTGGGTGCAAAGAAAAGAGAAGAGCCGGGCTGTCCGTCACTGCGGCCTCCGCGAAGTTTCATTGAAGTCTCGCCCTGGTCCCGAAATTCTCCAAGGTTCCAATGCCGTCCTTGTGTTGGCTGTGAACCGCGAGTTTGTTCTGACGGAACGCGTCTTCAGTGGCGATCCGTGCTGCTGTGGTGCTGTGTGCTGCATCCTGCCTGGTTTTCGGCTCAAGCTGGTTTTTTGGAGCGATCAAACATGCCTGACTCGGAGAGTCTTTACTCACCCGGCGTGCCATGGAGGCCTCGAGGTTTAGTTCCCGTCGTTCATTTGTGCGGAAATTATCACCGCGGGTCACCTGTGCACAGTTTCAGCACCTGCCTAGGGCCTAGCCGCCTGGGTGTTCAGGCACATCATCAGCCATAGACTAGACCCGACGCTATCCGGAATCGAACAGAGCTGCCGCTCCAAGTGTTGGTTGTGGTCTGCAGGAGAGCTCGAGAAATTGCAGCAGAGCAGGACTCGCCCAACGATGTCCGCCCTTTTTGGGAGCTTGCTGTATGTTTGGCATGACCGGTGTCCCGGAGCACCGCAGGACACTTGTGATGAGAAGAGGTACAAGTCCAAGGACCGGTCGCAATTGGTCACGCTTTTTGCGTGGCATCTTCTGCTTGCCTCAAGCCCGAACGCGTTTGCAATCTCCGAGCAGAGAGTAGATGTGGAAAATTTCACATTCCCGGAGGAGTCGACTCGCTCGGCAGACCAGGTGACAGAGAGGCAAGGGTCGCAGGTCACTGCAAAACTCATTGTTCTCTCTTCTCCCTTACTCCACAGCTGGTATTGGTATATATATACACATATGTATATATATATATATATATGTTTATATATGTAAACTTACATGTGTATATATATATATATATAGATAGATATTATGGATGTATATACGTGTATATACATAATACAGATAGGTGAACAGACAGATAGGGAGAGGTATGACTGCTGCGTGTTCCCTTTTGCAATATGCAGCATCTGCTTTGATTCTCTCTCTACAGATGCCAGGAAACTGAGGAAGTGGTGGTAGCGACGCTCTTGGTGGTGGTGGTGGTGGTGGTGGTGGTGGTGGTGGTGGTGGTGGTGGTGGTGGTGGCGGCGGCGGCGGTGGTGGTGGTGGCGGCGCTGGTATAGCAGTAGCAGCAGCAGTCGCAGTTGCAGTCGCAACTGGAGCACTCGCACGCAGTCGCAGCCGCAGCAGCCAGGAGCAGGAGCAGGAGGCAAGAGCAGGAGGCAGGAGGCAGGAGCTGGAGGCAGTTGGCAGTGCCAGTTGGCAGTTGGCAGTGGCAGCGCCAGTATCTGTAATTATCTGTACCAGCACCAGCAGTAGCAGTCTAGTGGAACTGCAGATTGCCTCGCATCGTCCACCGGAGGGGCGCCGGGGGGACAGGGCATTCAGGGTTTCGGTTTCTTTTTGGCAAATCACGAAAAAAGGCTTTGGTTGGCATGGTACGTGCGTTGGTGTAGCGTTGGGATGCACTCGCAAATGCTGTGCATCGCCATGGTGGGGATAGCTTCGCACACACCTTCACTACACGTGCGCGGTCATGGCACGCATCAAGTCATGCTTGATTGCTGCGCATGGCTTCCGTCAGACCCCGGGGTGTTCTACACTGACTTGCATCAGGTTGGGCGACGTACACCCACGAACCTATGTGACCTATGTGTGTATGTATGTACCTGTTTGTGTATGTATATGCCACATGAACTGGGGCATCTGCTTGCCGACGAGCTGCCTAGCCGCCTCTCGTTGTTGAACACAAACCACACATTACATTCAATCATCCATGTTGACAGCATCTGCACGTGTCTGTCTTCAAGCCGTGTGTTTGTTTGTTCTGTGCATCCGGCCTTTGACTCGCAACTCTCTTCGGCACGTGTCTGGGAAAGAAGCACACCGAAAGGGAGACGCAGCTCTTGCAACGCTCCCCGCCTCCCTCTTCTTCGAGTCTCCGCTCGCCGGCCAATGCTGCCTGCCAAGCGCAACAGGAGCAGCAGCAGCTGCAGCAGCAGCAGCAGCAGTGGCTCCCGAAAGGCGCGGGTGCTCAAGCCAACTTGTTTGCACACTTTCGGGACACTCGATGTGATCCAACGCATGTGGTTTCGTGCTCCGTTCACTTGGACAAGGACATCTGGCTGGTGTGCGGGGACTACCTCGTGAGCGGAGGCCTTCTTCTCATGAATGCTTTTGCAAGACTCTTCTGATTCGCCCAACCCTTCCAGGCTACCTGCCGGAGGATTGCATACTGAGCCTGCGCCAGCTCAGACGCTTGCATTGAAGAACATGTGTGTTTGCGGGTCCCTCCTTGAAGAACACTTGCTTGGTGTGCTAGTCCTTCAATCTGCTTGCACGCGGTCCTCTAGTCGTCCATCCTTGAATCTGGAATCAAGTCTTCACTGCGAGGCCTTTCGCAGTCCACCGCTTCACAATTCTTCGAGGAGGTCCGGGGTGCGAGGGTCGAGTTCGGGGATTCAAGACTTCATGGACAGCGTCCGAAGTGTGATGCCGGTGATCTTTGCTGCAGGTCTTGTTGTTGAGGCCTCTGTCGCTGTATGTCCGCACGTCTCTGTATGTACACCATGCGTATGTATGCATATATGTACGTAGGTGTGTTCGCGCGTATATGTATGTGTGTCTGTATGTAATGGTACGTACGTATGTGTGTGTGTGTGTGCGTGTGTTTCTGTATGTATGTACGTTTATGAAACTGGGCACATGTCTGGGAAGTCCGAAGCCAGTCAGTGGCATGAGACACGGCCCACATCTTTGTTGTTGGGTGCACTGCCAGGTCCCCGCAGCGGCTACAACATCACAGAGCGGAGGCTGGACGGAGGGTTCTTCCTCCTACTCTTGCGATGACTCCTCCTCCTCCTCCTCCTTCCTCGACGACGAAGTTTACGAGACATGGCACCATGGATTCTGCACTTATCAAAATCTTGTCAGAGCTCGCTTTGCTAGGAGATCCGGCTGAGCAGCAGGAGCCGGAAGCCAGGGAAGCGACCGGTGAGGCCAGGCCATCGATTGTGTGCATGCCCGTTCGGGCAGCTTTCTCCACTCAGCTCAACCAGTGTAAGCTTCCAGGAATCACATACTCGTAGCCTGCTTGAGTCGACAGGGCTGTTTGCTAGGCTGCTAGGACCAGGGACAGGGTGTCCAAGAGCCTCCAAGTTGTTGGCCGCGAAGAAGAGGATGAAGCAAGGTCCCCAAGGCCCTGCACATCCCTGCACCGCATTGTAGAAGAAGCGCCTGAAGGTTGCTTCCAATGTCACCCCCTTGGTAGCGGCCGCTGAACCCGCAGCTCAGTCCGGCGCCCGGGGGGGCAAAGCTGCGTGAGTCTCGGACTACCATGCGTTGTAATGTATTGCACACCGAAGCCCGCTCGGCAAACAGCCGAAGCATGCTGAAGCTGTTGCAACATGTTCCTTCCTCGAGTCCGGCCAGAGAGTCTGAGAGAGTGAAAGGTTTCTGGCCGCTGGGACTGAAGTCTACTGGGCAGAGATTCCGTTAGCCCTACAAGATTCAACCAGTCTCCCAAGGATACCATCATGTGTTGCCAAGCCCCATGACAAAATAGGTCTTGCTTGGGACTTGAGAACCTCGTTGAAGCATTGCCGATGTGTCTCGAGGTCGGGTGCTGTCGTCACCGCTGCCGCGCCGACAAAGCGACTGGAGCGGGCACAACAAGCCTGGACCGGCAGAGGGCAGAGCTTCCGAGTCGTCAAGCGTTGGGGGAATGTCCTGAAGCCGACCCCGAAAGCCAAGCCAGTCTCTGGGAGTTTTGCTTCGGGGCTCAAGAAAGCGCCTTCCAGGACGTCCGGTGATCCCAGCCAGCTCAGCATTTCTGACCAAGAGTTTTTTTATGCCGGAGCCTCGGTGCCAGGAAATTCTGATTTCAAGCAGCCCAAGTTCATTGAAACATCCAAATGCAGCAGACGAAAAGAAGCTGCGACCATGAGAGGTGTGGACATCGACCGAGACAGAGAACGGGTGGATCTACGCCGAACTAGCCAAAGATCAGGCCCAATCCGGTTCCTCCCTTCTTTCGAGTCTACGGGGCCCTTATAGCAGTCCGTACTGTACGAGTCCTAGACTGTCTTTTCTAGTCGAGCACTCCAAACAGATAGCTACTGGCTGGCCGTTACACTCGCTGAGGGACATGTGTTTTGAAACAGTGTGCGTTTGGTACAAAACCAACCCGCCAGCGTTTGGAACTTGCATCCCAAAGGCCTCGGATCCAAAGCTCCTCAGGCCCAAACCCATGGCCCGTAAATCATTTAAGCACTCACAAATGATTTCCGGGCGGGTTCGCAGAATGATGTGCCGAAATTGGAGCTTGTCGTTTCCAGCCCAGTCTGCCTGAATGGTGGTACTCATAATGGGCTGGCCTCTGACCCTCGCCTTTCTGTATGCATCCCAACACTCATCAATGGTTTTTCCTTGGATTTCGTTCGGGGGGTGTGAAGCAGAAATCGCTGGCGTCTTGTGTGTTGGAGCTCTTGTGTAAAAGCAATAGGAAGCGTTTGGGGATTAACGTTTTCAAAATGCTAGCGTTGAATCCCAGCGCTTTAAGTGTGATGATGGGGCCCTAGTTCTGCCAAGCGTGCTGTGCCAAGTGTGCCTTCGTGCCTGCGTGGCCTGGCGTTCGACGTGATACCCCCGGGAGAGCAGTGCGATCATGGATTCTCTCGCATCGAGCAGACAGTCAGTCTGGCCATGAAAGTGCAGGCAACAGTTGGCTGGCTGCCCCGATGGGTCATCACAGAGCTCCAGGAAGGCCAGCAGTGGATGTGCCTTGGCACAAGCTCGAGGGTTGACGGGACGCAGGAGAAGCATTTTGGGGACCTCTTTCGCTTACTTTCTGCAAGTTGCTTGCCTGTCCACAGCACGGTGTCAACAA